TGTCCCCAGTGTCCCCGGTGTCCCCTCCTGTCCCCATGTCCCCGGTGTCCCCAGTGTCCCCTCCTGTCCCCATGTCCCCGGTGTCCCCGGTGTCCCCTCCTGTCCCCCAGTGTCCCCGGTGTCCCCTCCTGTCCCCATGTCCCCGGTGTCCCCGGTGTCCCCTCCTGTCCCCCAGTGTCCCCGGTGTCCCCTCCTGTCCCCATGTCCCCGGTGTCCCCGGTGTCCCCTCCTGTCCCCCAGTGTCCCCGGTGTCCCCTCCTGTCCCCATGTCCCCGGTGTCCCCAGTGTCCCCTCCTGTCCCCATGTCCCCAGTGTCCCCCTTACGCGCTGGCCTCGAGCTGCAGGTCGGGCACACAGACGTTGTCCTCGCAGTCCAGCTGGATGTGGGCCTGGGGACACGGGGACATCAGCGGGGACAGCGCGGGGACACGCGGTGACACAGGTGACAGGGTGACACAGAGGTGACAGAGAGGTGACAGGGTGACACAGGTGACAGGGTGACACAGGGTGACACAGGTGACAAAGGTGACACAGAGGTGACACAGGTGACACGGTGCCAGGGTGACAGGGTGACACAGAGGTGACACAGAGGTGACACAGATGACACGGGTGACAGGGTGACACAGATGACATAGGTGACACAGGGTGACACAGGTGACAGAGTGACACAGGTGACACAGAGGTGACACAGGGTGACACAGGTGAGAGAGTGACACAGGATGACACAAGGTGACACAGAGGTGACACAGAGGTGACAAGGGTGACACAGGTGACACAGAGATGACACAGAGATGACACAGGGTAACACAGGTGACACGGTGACAGGGTGACACAGGTGACAGGGTGACACGGAGGTGACAGGGTGACAGGTGACAGGGTGACACATAGGTGACACAGGTGACAGGGTGACACATAGGTGACACAGGTGACAGGTGACAGGTGACAGGTGACAGGTGACGCGTACCTTGGCCTCCAGGCGCGTGCGCGTGGCCGGGGACAGCAGCGGGGACAGCCCCGGCGGGGGAGGGGACGCGGCCGGGTCCAGGGCCAGGCTCAGGGACAGCGGGATGGGGGACAGCTTGTCCCGGAACTCGGACTCGTTCTGGGGACAGCCACCGCGACATGGGGACACGGGGACATGGGGGACATGGGGGACATGGGGACATCGGGGACATGGGGGACATGGGGACATGGGGGACATTGGGTCCCCTCACCGATGGGCCCGGGCAGGTGACGTCCGGAGGCGTTGAGGCAGAAGGTGACATTGATGCTGGGGGGGGGACGACACAGGGGTGGCACTGTGTGTCCCCTCTGTGTCCCCTCAGTGCCCCCCTGGCCATCCCTGGCTGTCCCCACCGCTGTCCCCACCAGTGTCCCCTCAGTGTCCCCCCGGCACGGACACCCAAGTGACCCCGCAGTGTCCCCAGTCCCCCCCGCAGTGTCCCCAGTCCCCCCCGTGGTGTCCCCAGCGCATTGTCCCCGTGTCCCTGGGAAGCCCCGGTGTCCCCATGTCCCCTGTCCCCCTTCCAGCGTCCTCACATCCCAGGGAACCCCCAGCGTCCCCTCGCAGTGTCCCCCATCCCCTCTCCACTGTCCCTGCCCTGTCCCCCACTGTCCCCTCGCTGT